TGGGGAAAATCTAACTAACTTCTTTTAATTCTAAAAAATATTATTTTTGAATATAGAAAATAATTCGGATTTTAATTCTAATTCTAGCTAAAGCTCTAAACATCACTTATATACTTCAAATAAATAATTTTAACTTTGCAATTCAGTTTATATCATTCCTAAAAATATTAGTGTTCTTTATTTTAAATCCGATTAGTTAGGTTTTCTTCATTAACATTTTCATCAATATATATGAACCTCGTTGTCCAATTTAAAACTTTTATATTTCGTCTATAAAATAAAAATAATGAAAGTTACAGCATTTATAATAATCTATCTGAAAACTTTTAATTTTCCTTGAATATTTCATTACGGTATGGAAAGTTCCAGCAATTTGCCTTAAGACACGATGCAATACACCACTATTTTACTTTTAGGTGCAATATTTTATTATGTCCGGTTCTATTATACATTAAAGAGTATTTAATCAATTCCTGTTCATTCAAACTGAGAAATATATAGAAGCTTATTACTTATAATTTTAGTATTATACGCATGATTAAATGAGAAGATGTATGGATATTGCTGCAAACTATTAATATTACGATTATTTGAATATAATAAATATCTAAATAACACATTGGGAAATTGATAGTACTCTTTTTGATCTAATAATAATCTAATTAACAATGAGTAATTTCTCAAAACTCTTACGTGAGAATACAATGTCCTGCTGTAAGGACCCATTCCGGACTTATTATTGATCCTCCACAATAATGTGCACCATTTGCTTGCAAAGAAACTTGCCAACCATAGTCCGAAATATCAGCCTCTTCACCTCCAACAATACGATTATCTTCAAAAATATTTATATGTAGATCAACTTGCTACATATTACTTATAATATTTTTATTGTGTTATTATCGATCTCTTAATTAATCTTCAAAATTATTTCAATGTTGAACTTACGCCTATGTCTAATATTTCTTGAATCAACAAGAGTTGTGAGTAATAGAACAAACAAAAAAAATAACATTTTATTTGTTCCACCTTGGTGGTAACTATGAGAATTGCCAATCAACATGAATTGCAAAATGGTATTGCTGTGTATTTATCAGTTCTAGGGCAATTATTCAATCAGTTGATAATATGCAAAATAATTTGTACGCGTAATGAGTTTGAATAGAAACTTGAAAACACTTTTGTTGTTAATAAATAATTTTTGTTGTTGCCATAAAATTTGAAATACGGCACTAAAATGATATTTTATTATCTTCATAAGTCTCTATAGAAATTAGTTTTTTTTAACTGTTACTTTGAAAGTATTTGAGAAAGCAATCAAAATTAGTTGTTCTGTAAGCTGCTGTAAGTCATACTTGCTTGTAGATTTAATAGACTTACGACCGCTTTTGAAAAACAAACTAATGGTGGTCCTTACTAACCGTGATCTTCCAGCCATGCCGTTAAAAACAATTTTTACTTGAAACTTACACCCTACTACAAAGTTCATGCCCTCCTGTGAGATTGAGTGGTGAATTAGTTCCTGTACCCAATGAAGTTAAATATCTGAGAATACATTTGGATAGGAGACTAACCTGGCATAAACATATAATTAAAAAGCGCCAGCAGCTCGAACTGACACGTAGACAATTTAATTGGTTAATGGGCTGGAAATCACAAGTTTCTTTAGAAAATAAACTCCTAATATACAAGACAATTATTAAACCAATATGGTCCTACGGCCAACCATGGGCTGCAGATAGTAAATCAAACATAGCAATTCTACAGAGGTTCCATAACAAAATTTTAAAACAAATCTCGAACGCCTCAAATATGTATCAAACTGGCTAATACATCAAGACCTTAGAATTCTAACTGTGGAAGAAGAAATTAACCATTTCTGCTCCAGATACAAGACTCGGCTAAGTTGACATCCAAACTGACTAGCATGTGACCTGCTCAAGCCTTTACCACTTACCAAAGCGACTTAAGAGAAGAACTGCATTGATTTATTACATCGTACCCCATAACATCTGATGCTATAATTACAGAAGGTGCTATCGCAGGATAGCTATACTTCACACGCTGCCATATCAAATTAATTGTAAAAGGTGATTGAATGTATAGTTTGAATATACTTTTGACTTTATTTTCAAATATCACTACTTTTTGATATCAGAGTATGCGTACCGCTAATTTAGAATCCATCGTTTTGTGGACGTACTTCATGCATTATTTGTATTTTGAGATTGAAATAATATTTGATATAATTAGCAGCAATTGTACCAAAAATAAATGGACTAAACAGTGTACACTTCTTTATTTAAACATTTGACACTCTTGATATATGCTATCATTCCCAAATTTAAATCTAAATTAAATTACCAATTAACCGTTGTTATTGACAAGATATTTAAGACAAGACAAGAAACTTAAATTTATTGAACGCAGGTCCAGCGATTAAGGACTCTCAATAAAAATAAGTAATGATTTGGCAGTCCAAAATGTTTATTGGACATATGTACATCGAATTATCAGGTATTTTAATAATGTGTACACATTTGTGTATTTTTTTTTGATTTCCGTACCTAATTTTTAATTTTGAAGGTTATTTATACGGTTCAAACAAATGTCCTCGACATTTTCGACAATATGGATTGTATATGATAAAAATCATTCGGTTCGTACACGATAGCGAAACGTTCATGCAAAAGGCAATTTTAAACCGTTTCGGAGGAATGGAGCGCAAAGGATGTCAAAACGATTTTGCTGTTTTTGAGAGAATGGATCATCCGATTAGATTAATTCAATAAACACACTTTGCTTGAGTAGGCGGTGTGCAAAAATGCATTTACAGAAATTTAGTAATTTTGAAAATATTCGAACAAAAAATTCAAAGTT